AAAGATGGGTTCTTGATGTGACATTGAAGGCTGGAAAAATGTAGAGAAGTGTAGTGAACAGAATGGTCTGTGGTATTTAGACAAGGAATTGGTGGTAACTGGGCACCAGTGTTGGTTAACCAAAATAAGTCATTCCAAAACAACCCCATTTCCATTTTTTATGGTGATACAAGATTGATAAATCAGAAGACTATGAGAGATACTATCTTTGTTGATGTTAATAAGACATTTAATGATCTCTCAATAGCTTTGTAGACAAAGAGGACGATTTCGTACTTGAAATATGTTAAAAGAGGCAAAGGCAATGGTCATATTTATTTGTTTAAAGCACAGGCTTTGGAGTCTGTATGAGCTTTATTTTTTAAATTGTAAATTGACAAATTTTAATTGTATGTATTTATGGGATATAAAAAGATGTTACAATATATGTATAAAATATGGAATGATTAAGGAACAAGTAAGGATTTGAAATGATGGATATGTTTATTAAACCAAGCTAATGAACATATTCATCATTTTAAATCCTTTTTGTTGGGCCAGGGTGCAGTGACTCATGCCTGTAATCCCAGCACTTAGAGTGGCTGAGGCAAGCGGATTGCTTGAGTCTATAACATAACCTAGGAGCATCCCCTTCCTGTTGACATCAAATTATTAATTATCCTTTCAATATTTTGCACAACAAACTACCAGTTTGGGCAATGTGGCAAAACCCCATCTCTACAAAAAATACAAAAAAATTAGGTGGGTGTGGTGGTATGCACCTGTGGTCCCAGCTATTTGGGAGGCTGAGGAGGGAGGATTGCTTGAACTCAGCAGGTTGAGGCTGCAGTGAGCCATGATTTTGCCACTGCAGTCCAGCTTGGATGACAGAGTGAGACTTTTATCTTAAAAACAAAAAAAAATCCTTATTATTCTTAGTGGTGAGAACCTTTGAAATTTACTCTTAGCAATTCTGAAATATACAATATACTGTTATTAACTATAGTCGTCATGCTGTACAATATTTCTCAAAAACTTATTCTTCCTGTCTGAATGAAACTTTTTACTCTTTGACCAGCATCTCCCCTTTCCCTTCACTTCCTCAACCTCTGGTAACCACCATTCTACTTAGTGTGAGCTTTTAATATGAAAAACACAAAGAGTGTAGTGTGTTTGGTGAATGTAAGAGTTTATGATACCACTACTAGTGGTGTTTTTTTTTGGGGTTTTTTTGTTTTTTGTTTTTTTTGTTTGTTTGAGACAAAGTTTTGCTCTTGTTGCCCAGGCTGGAGTGCAATGGCCTGGTCTTGGCTCACTGAAAACTCCACCTTCCGGGTTCAAGCGATTCTCCTGTCTCAGCCTCCCAAGTAGCTGGGATTACAGGCACCAGCCACCACACCCGGCTAATTTTTGTATTTTTAGTAGAGACAGGGTTTCACCATGTTGGTCAGGCTGATCTCGAACTCCTGACCTCAGGCAGTCCGCCAGCCTCGGCCTCCTAAAGTGCTGGGATTATAGGCGTGAGCCACTGCACCTGGCCCACTACTGGTGTTAACACGTGGATTTGTAGCTTGTTGTACAAAATATTGAAAGGATAATTAATAATTTGATGTCAACAGGAAGCAGTTGCTCCTGGGTTATGTTATAGGGATTTGACTCTCTGTATTTAGTGTTGTTCACCACTTTTTTTTTGGTCAGCACTTTTAATGTTTTTTAGATCCACAAATAATTAAAATCTGGAAAGAATGGCTAGTGTGTTGGATAGCAGAACTGACATTTAAAAATCTTGATTTTCTCAAGCAATAGATTGAGACTAACAAGATGATAGTTAACACAGTTAAACATAATATAATAATAAGGCTTAACACATTTACTATTAGTACTTTGGAGAAAGTCACTCTTAATAATTTGTGTGATAAAGATCTAAGTTTTAGTTATTTGCAAATTTAAAAGTGTGATGTATCAACCCCTCCGCACCCCCCAGTGCAATAATAGATTTCGTTAGTGGCCATATAATGTCTAGAATGAGGATTCAATTTAATGTTTTGTGTTCAGTTCTGATTTATGAATAGAGCGAGGTTGCCAGGATCCTAAGACATCTGAAAACCGTGATAAGGGAATCTGGACTATTTGAAATGGAGAAAAGAAGACTTGGTGTTGCCTTTAGGTATCTGAAGAGTAATTGAAAGAAATTATATTTATTTTGCATATGGCTGAAGGAAGAAATAGATTCAGTAGTCAGGAGTAGTGAACTTTTGCCACTATGCATGGGAAGTGTCCAGGTTGTGTCTGAATGTTCACTTGTCATAGTTATTGAGGACGGATGCCCACATTGGGTGATGGGTTACATAGACTTGGGGACTTCTGAATTTTCTTTTAATTCTAAATCTGTGAAATGAAAAACCTGGATCTAGAATTAAAAAGAAATTATGATCTTTTAACCTACTCAGTGAGAATATTATAGCGAAGGTTCCAGCATTAGGAAGAACATAATTATTAAATTGACGTCTTAGGTCATTTGCAACCTTATAATTTGAAGACTTCATAAATCTCTTAATAAATATAGCTGGCTTTCACAGTCCTCTCTTAGTTT